CTGGGATTGTGGCATCATTAAGCCAGCAGTAATCGCCACACGGGCGGCATTCCCCACCTGGCTTGGGCACCATATGCAGAGGGGAGGCCCAAGTGCTGCTGGAATGCCGAACAATACCGAAGCTCTCCAATGCAGCAAACTATGCCATAGCAATGGCCAATTTACCTACATCGAGGCTTCAGGCTCATGCATGGACTGCCGACCCTTTTGGGACAATGTGGTGTTCAACACCGTGCTTGGCCGTGATTGATGTAAAAGTGGGCTGGGTGTGGTCTGGGAACTCCACCAGCAGAGGGGCGAAGGTGCCAGTTGTCCCCAAGGCACTAGACAGCTGAGACGAACCAGCCCTGCTGTGTGAGCATGGCAATGAATGATAAGTCCTGGCATCAACCAGGCACTGGTGTTTTATGTGCACCAGCAGGTTGTTAGCGCATAAAAAATCAGTGCCCAGCAGGGGAGTGGACACCTTCTCCACTACAAAATGCCACCAGAACCACTGGACACCAAAACAGACTGTCTTGACACAAGTGCCATAAGTGTGGATACTGCTGCCATTAGCAGCCTCCAAAGTCGGGCCCTTCTACCCGGAGCACTGACCTGCATGCCCGTGTCGCAAAGGAAACGGTGGCCAGAAACAGCATCCGTGATGAAAAGCAGGCTATCGGAACGACTGACATTCGTTGCCGCTAACGAATGCCGGCCAGTGCATTTCCCAACCCCTTAAAATGGCAAGGGGGGTGCATTTTTTAGCTTTATCACTGAACCGAGCATGGTAAAAGCAGAGGCCTGGCATACCGCTCTGCTGTGCAGCCGAGACAGTAGCATCGACATGTGGCGAGATGCTATCTGAGCTCCAAGCACACATGGCTGAACAAGCTGCCAGCCTTGCAGTGTGCACTTTGTCGGCCTCCTTAGCAAACTCCCCACAGTTTTTAAGTGGGAGATTAGCTAACGCTCCCCACACCACTGTGGGCAGCTGTTGTAAGAAAAGCTCCCTAAAAATGAAGCAGGACTGATGGTCACCTAGGAGAGCTAGCATATGATCCATCAGCTCTGAGGGCCATAAATCGCCCAGGCCGAGGAGCACGAGCAAGTGGCATGCACGTTCTGTCTCAGAAAGTTCTTAAATGTTCAGCAACAGAGACTTTAAAGCACCGTATTTGTCCACCTCCGGAGGGTTCTGCAGCAGACTCACCAGTTCTGTAAAGGACCGTAATTGTCCTTATACACTCACCTAAAGGATTATTAGGAACACCATACTAAAACGGTGTTTGACCCCCTTTCGCCTTCAGAACTGCCTTAATTCTATGTGGCATTGATTCAACAAGGTGCTGAAAGCATTCTTTAGAAATGTTGGCCCATATTGATAGGATAGCATCTTGCAGTTGATGGAGATTNTGGAGTTCAGGAGATTGTCTTGACCAGGACCACACCCCTAAATGCATTGAAGCAACTGCCATGTGATTGGTTGGTTAGATAATTGCATTAATGAGAAATTGAACAGGTGTTCCTAATAATCCTTTAGGTGAGTGTATATACTGCTCAAAAAAATTAAAGGAACACTTTTTAATCAGAGTATAGCATCAAGTCAATTTAACTTCTGGGATATTGATCTAGTCCGTTAAGTAGCAATGGGGGTTGTTAATCAGTTTCAGCTGCTTTGATGTTAAAGAAGTTAACAACAGGTGCACTAGAGGGGCAACAATGAGACAACCCCCAAAACAGGAGTGGTTTAATAGGTGGAGGCCACTGACATTTTTTCCTCCTCATCTTTTCTGACAGTATTTTTCACTAATTTTGCATTTGGCTACAGTCGGCCCATTCTCCTCTGTCGGTCACTACTGGTAGCATGAGGTGATACCTGGACCCTACAGAGGTTGCACAGGTAGTCCAACTCCTCCAACATGGTGCATCAATATGTGCCATTGTCAGAAGGTTTACTGTGTCTCCCAGCCCAGTCTCAAGGCCATGGAGGACATTCCAGGAGATAGGCAGTTACTCTAGGAGAGATGGACAGGGCCATAGAGCAAACAATCAGAAACAGACTTCATGAGGGTGGCCTGAGGGCCCGACGTCCTCTAGTGGGCCCTGTTCTCACTGCCCAGGACTGTGGAGCTCGATGGGCATTTGCCATAGAATACCAGAATTGGCAGGTCCACCACTGGCGCCCTGTGCTTTTCACAGATTAGAGCAGGTTCACCCTGAGCACATGTGACAGAACTGAAAGGGTCTGGAGAAGCTGCGGAGAACATTATGCTGCCTGTGACATTGTTCAGCAAGANGGATGAAATCCTTGGACCCATTGTCAGACCCTACGCTGGTGCAGTGGGTCCTGGGTTCCTCCTGGTGCACGACATTGCCCGGCCTCATGTGGCGAGAGCATGCAGGCAGTTCCTGGAGGATGAAGTAATGGATACTGTTGACTGGCCCCCATGCTCGCCTGACCTAAATCCAATGGAACACCTCTGGGACATTATGTTTCAGTCCATCCGATGCCACCAGGTTGCACCTCAGGCTGTCCAGGAGCTCAGTGATGCCCTGGCTCAGATCTGGGAGGAGATCCCCCAGGACACCATCCGTCATCTCATTAGGAGCATACCCCGACATTATCAGGCATGCCTACAAGCACGTGGGGGCCATACAAACTACTGAGTACGATTTTGAGTTGCTGCAATGAAATTTCGGCAAAATGGACCAGCCTACCGGATCACTTTTTCACTTCGATTTTTGGGGTGTCTTTGAATTCAGCCCTATGTGGCATCCTTTCGTTCCTAACACATTAACCAGTCCATATCAGTATAGATATACAGCATGATTTTTTCCCCCATTGAGATCTGATGTGTTTTCAAAGCGTTCCTTTAATTTTTTTGAGCAGTGTGTGTGTGTATATATATTTTTCCAGAAAAAAAAACGTCCCTAAAAAAAAAAAATAAAAAAAAAAATATATATATATATATATATATATATATATATTT